AAAATTTTCTTAAACTATCCCCCCCCCCCCCCCCCCCCGCCTCAATCTTAGACTCTTCGCGCGGCCCCTGTGCATATGTATCATAAAACACATTGTTAACGAACTTGATAACCTCCTGTATTTCCTAAGATAATCAAAATGGTCACAGAAAATTTTTATTTAATTATTTTCATTGTTTATCAGTCGGTAACATACTAAGAGCGATAACAAGGACAAGCCATTCATATTCGCTTTCCAAAGCGGATATCACACGATCATATGTTTAATGATCTTTTTATAGAAGTAGTTCTTTTATCTCGAATGTATTTTCTCGATGACTCAATGTCTATATCTTTATTTTCAAATTCGCAATTCTACTACAAATATTAGAATACAAAAAAAAAACTAAAAACCACATCGTTTTGAAACAAATATTTTTTACAAAAATTAATACCTGCTATAAAAAGAAATGAGAACATTTCACTGTTTTAGTGGGTGTAACTACTAGTAAAAAAGAATATCAATTTATGTTCGAAGCGATGATTGTAAGAAACGTCGATCGACATTTATCTTCGGTTTTGTCACTAAAATGCTACTTGCCAATTCAGCTTTTCTCGCTTTTTGATCAAAACTTTCATTTGTTTCTCTTATGTATTCGCGAGTATCTTGTGATGATTTAGCTAATGTTCGAGACTGTTGAAAGAATAAAATACAAAAAGTTTAATGTAAAGAAATTTTTGAATTCATACTAAATTAGTAGTTTCTTGTTTATCTTTCACGAAGTGTTGCGTTCGACGATCTTTTCGTTTTATTTCATTGAGCAATTCTGAACGACGTTTTTGTACATCAGCCATTTGCCTATTAAAATAAAATAAAAATCACAAAAACGTATTCGTTTCGTAGCATACAATTCATGATTTTTTGCTTGTAATGTTTCATAGAGTTGACGTGAATGATGAAGTCTTTCAAGTTTTCGACGCAGTTCATTTTGACGACGTTCTTCAGCCATAGTTTGATCCTAAATATTGCATTGTTATGTCCATAATAATTCAACATAGATATTCTAATATTTCACATCTTTTCAATTTCAGACATAACATGAGAATTACAAAATCGCATGCAGATCTTGGACTTTTATTCGCACTATCGAAAGTCCTGTAAATTCGGACGAATGGGATAGGATAGTTGGTATCTATCCTCATAGTAAAAGGCTTAACTGAAACTAGATTTATCTAGTTTAGTATCTTATTTTGTTGCAATAAAATATCTCATATCAGATTTTTTGTATTAAATAAGTTGCTGCTCACAATCGGACCAAGTATTTTTTTTCGTTTTCACAGGAAGGTATGGTAGAATAGGGCCTTACTAGAAAATCATGCATTAACGAATCATAACGTTCAGCTTCTTTTTCTTTTTCTGTTCGACGTGCATTTTCTCGTGCTTTTTGAATTTTCAATTCATGATCATAACTAAAACAAACCAAAAATCGAAGGACAATAAATTGCTTTCTTTTATGGGTTTTTGTCTTTGAAAGCAGAAAAAAAATACATACTGCGAAAGTAAAAGTTCATATTGATTCTTGTCTAACGGTAAATTTTCAAGATCATTGTCTGATGTTGTTTGAGTTACACGTTGTTCTATTATTTGTTTTACATTTGCAAGTCCATCGCTAAAGAGAATAGGAAATTTAACTGAAAGATATGAATAGTTTTTTTTTGTCTTACATATATCGTTCATTCTTTTTTGAGCTTGATGTACCAAGCCGTTGAAGACTCTCGTCCTAAAAGAGAAAGAAGTTTTCTAAGTGACTATTGTAATAGGCCATTAGTGAACTAACCATTCGTCGAACATCATCTAAAAAACCAGCTGAAGATGATGTTTGTAATTCATCCTGACTATCAGATGATGGCCATTGAATAATCGATGGTTTTACATTTGAACTTGTTACAGTTGGGCGAATGCCTGATGTTGGTCGTACAGGCCGATGGAAATGAGTATCGTTTCGTGAAGGCTTTCCAGCCGTTATTGAATTCGAACGACTGCGCATGCTAGTCGATGGTGGATGAAATTTTGGATTGATAGGATTTCTATATGTATATAAAATTAACATAAAAACTAGCTTAGGATTCATTTTCTTATTCACTTTCGATTTGTTGATCTATCATTGACATAGGATGGTTCTGAAGATGAAGAGAAAATCGAAATCAGACTTTTTACTTCGTAATAGTGACTCTTACTAGGATCAACAATTTTTGCTGATAATGGCCTTGTAAGTTCTTCATCTTGAATAATTTTCTCGCGTTCTTCCCGACAACGCTGTAATTTAGCTAGAAGAGATTTTTCATTTTATTTTCATGTTACTGCATTAGCCATTGAAATATGTTTACAAACCCAATCGCTCTATTTCCATTTCATCGTGAACATCAACTAATGTTGAATAGCGTACTTTCTCAGATGAAATATCGGCTAGTTTTCTTGGAAGTAATGTAGTAGGCTATAGAAAATTGCATTTTTTTTTAATATAACCTGCAAATAAAAGAATTGATTTTACTTTAACATTCATACGAGCACAAGCTTCAAGTGAACGAGGACTTGTTAAGACATATTGTGAGTCAATAAAATCGATATGATCAAAATTATATAAATCAATTTTAACTTGACCTCGAATTGGTCCTGGACGATTAACATTTGGCTTCTGTTGTTTAGCAGATGGAATTCGTGTATTGCTGGTTGGCCGAGATAAATTCAAGCAACCTGATGTATCAAAAAATCGAGCAGCATTGCTGGTAGTCATGTTTTATTGACTTATATTTTAACTTATTCTCCAGTCCTTTTCTCTTTCCTCCATTACACCGTATGTTGCCTAAGTGGGACCTCTATTTCACTTATTTTTTATTCACCACCGTATGAGTCATTACAACTGAAAGACAGAACGAATGGCAATAGATGATGAATAAGTAAGTAGTGTTACTTCTTTTCTATTTTATAGATATACGATAATGCAGTATCCCCCGCAGAAGTGATCATCACATACATCTGTTACCTATGAATCACAAGATTGCATGAATTTGTAGCAATACTTATTGTTGACTAAGAAGTGCGCATCACAAGTAGCGCTATCAACAGTTGATAATAATGCGTCGTGGACTGAAGGAAAAATTGTCTAGTGTTTTTGATGATCTTCAAAGATCTAACACAACACAATCGTTCAATAATAACAATGAACGACGGCATTTAAAAGATCGTTTTGTTGGTACTGTCAAAGAGAAAAGTGATGCATTGGTGTCAGCAGTTCAAGAACACTTTACATCAATGACTGACACAACAGGAGCACTGGCAAAACAAAAACTATTACAAACATTGTTTTCGTCCGGTCTGGTACACAGCGAAGATATTCGAAAGGCACTTCAAATCGGTATGTACATTTAATTTGCTAATTCCTTCTGAGCATAAAATAAAGTAGAGGAAAGGTGCCTTTTAACTAATAGTCAAACAGTGAGAGAGATGTTTTTCTAATGAAATTGGTTAGTTTTTAGGAAGAATTTATGTGACATAATCTACTTGTAATCAACATTAAAACGTCTGTAAAGTAAAGTACTTTCAATATTAACTAAAAGAATAACAAATATTAGCTTGATTTCAAATGATCTAAATAATGGAGCATATTTTTATTAAATAATCGAATTATATCCTTCAGTAACAGTTGAATTAAAGAGAAATCTGTACAAATACATTCCGATAAGATTAACTGAAAATAAACCTAAATCCACACGGATGAATTTTTGATACTACTATCGCAAAACTATGTCGTAGGAATTTTCTAAATGTTTGTCTTTGAATTATAGGCATTGGTTATTTTCTTAGTCGACCTTACGAAAATACATATGGCTTATCTACATATGTTCTACGAGAAAAATTCCCAGCTAGTGGTGGTGTCATACCACCACATAGTTTAGCTGATTTTGATTTTGAAGCTTATGGACTTGATACATTTAATGCGTTGTTGAATATTTATGGCATCAATGCAGATACATTAAGACAACAGGTCTGTGACGGTGAATTGAAAGAAATAGTGAATCCATCTAGCTCAGGTTCATTACTTTATTTAACATCGAACTCAGCATATCTTATTAAAACTGCGCGTGACTATGATGCAAAATTTATTCAACAAAAATTTCTTCGCGCATATTATGAACATTTCCAACAGACACCGGGAACATTTATTGCAAAACTATGTGGTGTTTATGGTTATATACCGTATATTTCTCAACAAATGGGTATTACGGTTGATTCGTTTACACTACGTTTTGTTATATTTTCCAATATTATACCAACAAATATTGATATTCATGAAAAATACGATATTAAAGGTTCATCGTATAAACGCGATGCTAATTTTAGCGAACGAATTAAAAGCTCAGCCACATTTAAAGATAATGATTTTCGTGATTTACATCCGCAAGGCTTAAAAATTCCAAATAATATTTATCGTCATTTGAAAGATGTTCTTACGCGAGATGTAAAATTTTTAGAAAAACTTAATATTATGGATTATTCATTACTTTTAAGTATATATTATTCTTTTCTTTTTCTACTTGATATGTTTTTGATTGCAATCAAATAGCTATACACAACATGGATAACCCAATTCCACCTAAACGTACTGGATCATTAGAAGCACTAATGGGTGGTATTCATGATACAATGCTTGCCTGTATGTTAGAACAAAAAAATGAAAACAATAATAGTAATACCAATGAATCAAGGTCAAACTTACGAATAAGAAAAGCGAATGAAGCTTTGGGTTTTATGTACGAAGAAATTCCGACATTCGATGTTGAATATGCTAAAGAATATGGGTATGCTTTCATGATTGATACTTCGATAGAGAAGTAGAGTTTGGAATTTGGAATTTATACTGATTTGATTAAAATAGCCATTGAGACTAAAGAGAATAGACTAGCAAATTCTGTCCAAACGTCGTTTGACTTCGTACGATGGTTACCAGTAGATGTCTCATGAAATTAAAAGGACTCAAATCCAAGGTCTAGTGGAATTGTTTCTATGCACTTTCTACTCTCCAGGTGGCTACTTGAACATTAGAAGGCGTCATGTATATAAGTGCCGGAGTCAATTTATTATCATTCGATTGATGTGTCGGGATCCAATTTTAGACATTTGATCGAAAATAGAATGGATAACTTTTGTCTATAAAAATATTTCGAATTGCTTGAAATGTCGGTGTCAAAGGCCTAGATGGATGGATGAGAGCTCGAGAAATGAGAGACCTGATAGAAACGTTTACTTTCATTGAAAACACTTATGAAACCTAAAATATTACCGTACCAATTTTTAAAATATTCTAGCGGTATACCAGCAATAAATGAAAAAGGTGAACGTCTTCTTCTTTTTTTTGGTGTTATTGATATACTTCAAACGTATGTATAATTTATATATAATATTCACCTTGTTAATAATCATTATTATAACTAATTTAGATTTGATATTTGTAAAGTAATGCAACGGCAATATCAAACAGTTGAAAATCCTGATGTTGTTAAGGAACGTTCAATTGTTGACGCAGTATTTTATGCAAAACGATTTCAAGAATTTCTTTTCGATCGTGTTTTTCTTCCAGCTGATGATGAATCGCTAACGGATTCAATTTATTTAGCACCCTACCAACAGCATACATCTTATGAACACGATACATGTGCTATGCCTTCCGTCTATCCTTCATTGCATGATTTTTATCAGTAACTATTCGAATATTATAAAAATTTTGTAAAGTAAAACAATTGATTACGAAAATGATCACATTGATCTTATATTTGTTAATATAAATAATAGAACGGAAGAAATGAATGTAAACACAAAAACAAAACAAAATACATAAAACACCGTTTGATTTATACGTAAAGAACAGAAGAACTATGAGTTTCACTCGTTAAATAACATTCATAGAAATAACACGCGCCGAAAAAAATAGGAAACATTAAGGAAGAATAGCTCATTGATAATTGTACAGTAATACATAGACTGCTTTATGTTTATTACGGCTTAAATTCTCTTATTTGTTTTTGTGTTTTTTGATCTCAACAATATTACATGTACAGATAAAACTACACGGAGAAAAATCTCACTTGTTGTTCACAACGGGGATTAAACACAACAATATTTATCAGCTGAAAAAGAAAATAGAACACAGTAGAAGGCGATAGTATTCAAAAGAAAAAAAAATTTAAATATATATTTTGTTTTTAAGAATTCTTTTTTATTGCACACGACGGAAAAATAGAACTTTATAAATTTACGCTCAGGAAATTATGCAATTTGAATCGAATGAAAATCCCTGTTTCTAGAAAAGGAATGTAAATCAAATGGCAATATGTGTTGAGAATTTGATTTTGTTTTCATTAAAATTGTGTTTCAATATGTGACCGAGCATTATATTGAAGAGGTGTTGATGGAGATCGTACCAATGTTCGTTTGCCTGGCATTTTACTTAATGATTTGCAAAGCATCGCAAAATCAGGCCGATCATCTGGTGCAAATGACCAACATTGATTAATTATATCCTGAGAATAGAAATTTTATAGATGCATAAAGGAAATGACGAAACTCGTTTAACTACAGAAACTCAAATGATTGGGGTAGGAGTAGGCAATTGCGGGCCCAGGAGAATAGGATCGATAGTCAAATGGTTTCCAGGCAATTTTTGTAGACAATGGTATTATCCTAAATTTTTTTTATCCATCGCTTCTTCTTGAATTGTGCCTCTTGCGCATGAAATTTTTAGAATTGGTACATATCGTAGTTGGAATTTTGAGTGTTTCTTGTGTCTATTGAACTCATTTATGAATAGTATTTCAACTTGGAATTATTGTAAATAGAATCTAAGCGATAGTATCATCAAACTATAGGGGGAAACGGTCATAAATCATGAAGTGAATACTAGAATAGCATTATTTTTCGCGCTAATGCATCGATCAAAATATTCAATTTGCAATTTCATGGTGAACTGCTTTTCATATACTCAAAAAAAGTGAGTGCACTAGATTCGGTCAGTGTGTCCGGCCGTTAACACGATAACATTCGAAAGCCTCATCCAATTGTCATGAAATCTTGTACACAGAATGATTTCATCAATATCTCAGTCGAGTTCGAAGATGAGAAGGATCCGTCAAGAAATGGCTGAGCCATCGAAAAAATTGTCATTATTGGCCAGACCATCCCTGAGGTGGGGGGGGGGGGGGTTACGGGGGTTTTTGAAAAAAATTTTTTTTTCTCAGAATTATTCACAACATATATAAACCGACTCAGTTTTTGCAGTACACATAACAATCGGATGCGAATCCGATGTTTTCTCATTTATTTTTATTTGCAATCGAATATCTGATAAACTTTCAGATTTGCACTGCTATCTTAACGTTTGGTGGAATAGGAACTGAGATCATCAGTTATATTGATCATTCTCTTTAGAAAAGCAAAACTCGAACAGTATTTATATTTAATGATTCTACAGAACGTTATTGCATTGCATAGACACTTTTGTCAGATTTCTTAATATGAAAATCTTTTAACGGAATCCTAGCAAATCTCCTCAAAATATTTCGATAGATTACTAAAACAAATCAACACTTACTTTCGCATATTTACTAATATGTACACTACTCAATGGTTGTTTAATTGAATTTCCTGCTCTCCAAATAATATATTCCGGTGGTTGTTTAGCATAAGGAAATTCTCGAAATAAAAGTTCATACCAAACAGTACTAAACAAAACAAGAACATTCGGATCATAATACAAATTCTTTTATTTTTCATACCCGAATGCATAAACATCCGTTTGTGGCGTATGTTGTAAAATTGTTTCTTCATTACGTGGATCAAGTTTTCGTATTATCTCTGGTGCTAAATAACTCAGCCATCCACGTTGTGCAACAATCGCTGGTTGATCAGTTACACGAAAACATTTACTCAATGGTACGAGACCATAATCAGTTAAAATAATACGATTATTTTGTACAAATATATTCGTCGTGCGTAACGACATATGATTTATGGATTTCTCATGCAAATAACTCATTGCTTGAGCTATCTGAGCAGCATACTGTACGGCTGTATTCAGTTGAATTGAATCGTGCTGAATATGAATTATTTCATGTAAATTTATGCCACGAATCCAACTAGAAATATTTTTGTAGTTTCTTTTTCAGTGCTAAACTATTTTATTTTCAAAAACTCTTACTTTGAAACAATGGCAAAATTTGGACTATCAACTAAACGAAGAGTTTAAGAGTAGAAAAAATATATAAACTAAAATTGAATACATACTGCAAACACCTGTATATAAATTTAAGTGTTCATGTCGAACTTTTCGCAATCGAAATACCTATAAAAATAAAATTATGTTTGTTAAACACGGCAATGTCAAGTATCGAACAGACTTGATTTTTGAATAGATTCAGAAATTTGACTGGATCTGTTTTGGGATCTGGCTTTATTATACGGACGGCTATTTCACCATGCCAATGAGCTCTAGAGAAGACGAAAAGAAGCGAAAATTCGTGTCTTTTTTACCTCAAAATTACTCTTCTAATTCTTACTTCATTAATGTGCCAGATGAACGTCGTACTTCTTCACCCATTTTTATATTATTAAATACAATAACCCAATCTTGTAGTGAACTGGCAAGCTAGAAATAATATTAATTTCTTCAATAGATCAACAACTTATCTTATTCATACGAATCAAAAATAAAACACTAGATGCTATATTACATCTTTAAATTTCAATCAAAACGATCTGAAGTTGCTCTTGATGGAAAATTCAATTAATCAATCATTTTATATTCGCCAATAGATGCATAAATCAGCAGTAGTTACAACAGTGTCGCGATTTTGAAGGAATAATAATGACTGAAAGTTTTTTTTTTCGTCAGAATTTTCCTGCCTGACTTCGCAAATTTATTTCTCAGGGTTAACTTACGTTGAAACTTCTTTTTTCTGGATCAGTTTCATCATCATCAAATGAATTGGTATCGAAAAGTTTTGTATGAACAAGATCTTCACATTTCGGGTGCGATCGTTCACTCTAGGATGACAAATGATATTTAATAAATAAAATCATTTTCTTTTGACGAATAATTACCTGTGACATTTGTCGTACTAGTTTACTATGAGTTGTCGAGGTTGAATCAGTTAAATTTGTTCCGGAATCTGTTTGAATTGTTGCACTAAACATTATACAGTAATTAACAAAACAAAACGAGAATTTATCGTATCAATATACTTTGTGTCAGTATCTGATTGAGCTTCAGGAATTTCTAGAAAACAGGAAAACGACTTGATAAAATTCATTCATAACATTTCAACGCACTAATTCAAAGCTGAATAACCACATGCATATAAGTTTTTTTTACAAAAATCATATGAACAACGTAAAATTAATGGAAACTTGATTTCCAACACCGTACAATATCTATTGTTATTTATATGACCTACCTGATGCATTTTTACTAGTCGCCTCTATGACGACCCAACTATCAGGATCATTTTGAGCTAAAGGAAAAATAAGAATACGTACTGCGACATGAATTCTAAACTTCTATTGTATTCTTATACAGATTCTTTTTCTCATCATCAAAGTATAAACGAATGCCAATAACTTACTGGAATAGAGTGATTCACTAATACACATCGTTGGTTTAAAATAGCCAGGTTCCGTAGGATTTAATGCCGGTGATTCAGGTGCAGATATTGGTGTTGAAGCTGTTGGACTTATATTATCCCACGCTGAAATAGTAAAATTGATATAGAATCTTTTGTTTTTTTGAAAAAACCCAACAATCGATACTGACGTGCAAAAGGATATTTACGTGACATTGGACTTGAATTTGCTAGAAAGTGAAAATCATTATTACAGAACGGATAGACTACGTGTGATATTTTACCATGAATATTTTGAAAATCATTACTTTCAATCGCTCGTCTTAAGAGGATTTCACTAAGGCCGCAATTAGCTGGAGCGTGTTGTACACATTCTTTGTGACATTTGTATCTTGTAAAAATATACATAATAGAAATAAAAATTTTCCAAAGCAAAACAATTACAACAGAGCAATCGAATTCAGTCCAAAGAAAAGAATCATGCTAGAGCTTATATATTTTTGTATGTCGAATTTTATTTTCAAGCTGCAAGATGCATTCTCTAGGGCCTTACTTGCAATGAATGCATGCTTTTCCTCGAAACACTTTTCTCCTACAGACGTCACAATAGGAAAATTTGAAAACACGCGTTCTGTTAAACCTAGAAAACGAATATAAAAAAAAATAACGGAATGTTTTCGGTATTTTGTTTTAGTATGAGTATAATTATGTATGTTTTTTTTATAATTTTCGCGTTGAGAAAAGCGCATAGAAAGCAGAAAAAATACGTTGGACAGTCGATGGGAAGACCAAATAAATTGTACATGAAATCAAAATTTTATATTTCTTACTTGCAACCATTGCATTTGACGCCAATAAAGAAGATCTTTTTTGAGCACACATTACACGTTGATAGTTTTACGAAATTATTCCACCTGAGAAGAAGAGAGAGAGAAAGAAAAAGATATTGACGTTGTTGTCATTTTAATTGCAATCACATTTAAAGTAACCAATAAACGAGACGACACCCAATAATAATTAAAGAGAACAGTGACGACAACAACAATAATGAAGATGAACAATTCGGCCAACAAAGAGAGAGATTAGCGAAAGAATTAGCTGGTCGTGTATGTGTTATGACAAATATGAATGCACAAAAGCGTGAGTTTAAGCTATACATAAAGCTAGTTGATACAAACTTGTGTTGAATTATATGTGCCAATCGATGTCTAAGGATGGGCGAAGAAGTATTGTACATGACTGCTTCTGAAAAAATGTTATTCATTGAAAATGAAATGAATGTATCTTATCATTTACCTGGTATTCTTGTATCGTTTTCGGCATCACTGTTTTGTGCGGAGCCCAATGGTGAATTAGACAATGCAGGAGAACGAACGGTAGGTGATTTTGGTGTTGCTGAACCTACAATTAAAAAAGTACAAGATATTTTTCTACAAGTTATATATGAACAAATACAATATAGCCAATCAATCAATCATGAGCACATGCAAAACATATGTGGATAAATCGTATCTGAGCGAGCTAAATCTGTGAAGTGCTAACCAACTTTGGAGCTCCGTCCAGACCATAGTTGTCTCTTTTTTGATTTTGATTTCGATGAAAATTGCTTTTCATCAGATCTCTTGTGTTTTCTATCCCTTTTCAAATGTCGTCGTGTGTTGCTCGATGTTGATGAGTGATAATCGGATAGACTTATATAGAATATCGAAGTAGTCTTACGCTTAACCAATTGACGAGAACGACTCTTTTTTTGATTCTTAACAAGACGCTGAAGTTCTATTGAAACAAGATAGAAATTATCGATTTTTGATAGCCGGTTACATGTACAAGAGAGTAAATTTTAAGAAGTTCGCAACACAATTTGTCGTCTGTATTTAAACTATGAACCAAATTAAGATAACATGAAAATACACAGTACATTTACTTTTTATTTCGCATTCAAACAGTGCGCATGATACTCATTATTATTTCCGTTATGTACTATAGTAAATAAATGCAAGCTAATTGTCTTCCATAAAAAAAAAACGTGTTGTTCCGTGGAATCTGTCAGTGTTTTGTTAAACACATTGTACAAAAAATACCTCTAAGTAGATAGGCTAGCATAGGGCACTTGTGTCCCACGACAGAAACTAGCCAGTGACTACCGTAATACATGGTAGAAATCTTATGAATATATCAAACATTGATCTAAGATTATATATACGTATATCGATAATGTCACTTTTTGATGAATGAAGTGAAAGGACGGAAGCATTTTAAGTTCACAACGATTCTATTAATAATGTTTTTGTACTGATGATGTGTTGAAAATACGAACTCTAACCATTTGTTTTAGTGAAATACATTCATGTAGGACTATTAGTATGCATTTTATTACTTTTAAATATAACCATGGATTAAATAAATTCTCAATTTGATATCGTCATTAAAGTGATAACTTACCAGACGGTAAACGACTTTCCGAATCTGAACCGTATGAATTTCGACGAGATGAGTTACCTTCGCTAGGTAATTGTAGATCCGTATTTCGAGAAGAATTCGTATTACTTAATTTAAAAAACATAATATTCAAATGAATAAATCAATGACGTAGTCTTCTTACGTGTTGAAAATCGCCGGATCAAGTAAACTTTTCTTACTCGGATGTTCATATCTACCCTTTCCGTTTACACATAAATGATTCGCCCGAGATGGAGGCGGCGTATGAGATGCTAAATAAATATTTTATTTTGCTAAAAGAATCATTATTCGACAATAGATTCGACGTACGATTATGTTTTCGTGTATGCGGAGATGCTTGTCCTACCGGTTGATTATCCGCCGTAGCTTCAAAGTCAGTTGATTTCGACGAAGATACAGATGCTGATCGTATAGTTTCAGTGGCGGGTGCAGTTGGATGTGCTGGAAATCAATGAATACAAGGAATAGTTGAATTTATCGATGAAACCTTATCATTCACCTGTATCTGACAACCGATATGTAGAATCGGATGAAGTACTCATCGGTATTTCTGTATGCCAATAAAAACGTCCATTATGATTCATACCGCCATTAGAAAAATATTCTACGAGAAACAAAAACAACAAAATCAAAATTCGAATAAGATTATCTGAAGAACAAAATCAAATACCTATACAAGCTTTCAGTGCACTATGTGCATTATGGAAATCTTTTCTTTCAGTCTCTGTCAATCCAGCATCAATTAAAATGTGTTCATTCACTGCCGTTTTCTTATTCAATAGATCATCAAATGTTATTCGTTGTGAAATATACTAGAAATCTTAATCGTTTAATTGCTTAATTAAGACAAACCAAATTAAATTACCTCAATGGATTTTTCATTAAGATTAATAGCAGTTAGAAAACGATCAATTTTAGAATATTCGCTGTGAAAACCACCATTTTGTCCATTGGATTTTTCCTTTTTCAATAGCATTAGCTGACGAGCGAAAAATCCAATAACACGACTCTAGAATATACATAAAAATATTAAGCGGAAGTATGGTATTTGCATCAATTCTTACTTCATTATTTCTCATTAGTTCATATTTAAGTGAAAGATCAGACATTGTTTCGCTATTGAATGTTGTCAATTGATCGATGGCATGAGTCAGAGCATCATCAAAATAGCGTAAATCTTGTGAGATTGAACGACTATATTCCAAAGTCGTTGTTGGATTGGAAGGTAAGGATGAGACAGCATCGCCATTCTCCCTGTCGAGAGTCACATCTGAACGCATTGTTTTGTTCTAAACTGAAAAAAGAAAGTGCTAAATCGACTGACAGGTAACAAGGTCAATTGGAAGAAGTGAAGCAAAAATGATGAGTAACAAACAAAAACAGAACAGCATCATACTCATAGTAATCAGAGTACTCAACAACATGAAAATGATTGACTGCTAAAAAGAACTAATCAGAATTTTTCTCATAGAATTGTTCGTTAGCGCACTCTATTCTGTCATAAAGGCATCTGTCAACATATGTTGTCGGCATCCGACTGAGGGAATCCACGACTTGCAACAATTGAATACATCGTCTTCATGTTTTTTTTGATATTATAGGCGACAAGCAGTAGCGTAAAAGAAAGGGGGGGGGGGCGGGCGCGACGCCCCCGCTTTGAAATTTTTTTCCAAGAATCGTAAAAATATAATCAAGATTCATATTACGCCCAGCAACGGCTCCTGGCGACAATATCTGTCCAACAGATATAAAAATTAAGAGATTTTTTCGTTGGGATACAGATACGGAAATTATTGACCATGTGGCAAAATTGAGAGTTTAAGTCATACAATTCTTTTTCTGTCAGGAAATAGATATCACTATTTTTTGATGGTTTGTTTAGGTTCCTCTGTCACCCCGCTGCTGAATTATAACGTATAAAGGTACTTCAACGATTACATATATTATTTTCACAATTAATAATAACTACATGATACATGTATATTATATTGTTAAAAGAAGAAGGGTTTTCTTCAATGTTTATTTTTCTTCAACACTAGTTTTCGTTCTTGTCATTGAACTATAAGTTTCTTGTATTAAAATATGTTCGAACACTTTGAGAAAAGTTGCAATTTTTTTAAAGAAAAACAGAGATGACCAATAAAATGAATTTATTTATTTTATTAATATGCTATTTTTATTGTTCTGAAAATACTTCCTGGGTGATTTCGAAGTTATTAAAAAGAGCTTGATGTTCTATCAAGTTTTTAGCTCAATCCACTCCTAGAAGCAATTGGCAATCCTGCTTATGATAAACAATTATAAAAAGCGAACACTTTCTAATTGTCAACAATGTGAACTTCTGCTGAACGATATTAGTTAGAAAAAATGCGAAAACGTCGAATTCGGATCTGACTTTGAACTCGACTGAGATATTGATGGAATCATTCTGTGTACAAAATTTCAAGACAATTGAATGAGGCGTTCAAGAGTTATCGTGTTAACGGACGGACGACACACTGATCGAATCTAGAGTGTACTCACTTTTTGAGTACACAAAACGACAATTTCTGAGTGAATACTTTTTGAAGTGAACTTTAAATACTGTTTCTGATTTCCTCCAATTTACAGAACCCTCATAATATAATTCTTTTTGTGTACTGAAAAAGTGAGTACACTAGATTTGGTCAGTGTGTCCGTCCGTGAACACGATAACTCTTGAACGCCTCATCCAATTGTCTTGAAAGTTTGTATACAGAATGATCTCATCAATGTCTCAGTCGAGTTCGAAGATGAGAAGGATCCGTCAAGAAATGCCTGACTTATCGGAAAAAATGTCATTATTGACCAGACCATCCCTGGGAGCGGGGGGGGGGGGGGGGGCCCGGATTTT